AAGAAATCAGAAATCAGGCCCAAAATAATAATATTCTTTGACAAACTGCACATTTCTCAGTGGAAAAAATATCAGAAATAAGGATAATATTGTACTTTCCTGGTTAAACCCATCTTTTAAGCAGCCATTTTGAAAAACTAACACTCAGTGTTCAGGCTGTCATAAAATCCTTGTTGCACAAAAAAATAGAAGATATTAGACGTTAAATATCCACATAGGGGTGTCATCTTTCAAATATTTGAACAGAGTTTGATCTGCATTATACATATATCCGTCCATTGACGAAACAACCACAAGAAAATCTGCCAAATCCCGAATGTTTAGTAAACTGTATAATTACAGGCCTAAAGGTCCCTGTTGCGCAGTGCGAAGGCTCCCTGAAGACCATTGATCCGTGTGTGTGACCACAGAGGGCTCCGGCCCCTCCCTGATTGCCTTTCCTCTGCTAATTAAACAGCCATGCTTAACGAGTTCACGTCGGTAACAAGGTTGGAAGGAAAGGTCACCCTATCACACTCGCTTCAAGTGGACACCGTCAATAACCATCCAGCGCTAGAGGGACAGGTACACACGCACACACACACACACACACACACACACACACACACACACACACACACACACACACACACACACACACACACACACACATAATCACCCTAAAGGAAAGATTGTCCATCCATTTAGCCAATTCAAGTTTTCTGTCTTTCATCTTGCCTTTTAGCAGCACTTCAAGGGTACTGGTGGTTTTGCATGTTTCAGCCCATTAAGTATACATTTACATTACCCATAACCAAGCACATTTTTAGAATCCATTTGAATCATTAAACAACTTGCAAAGGCCTGCTAGAGATGGACATCAATGTGGAAATGTCCTTACTAAAAGTTACAGGGGACACACAGACAGACTGGTAACATACTTCTGGAATAGCAACTTTAAACAACATTTAAAAAGGTTAAGAAACCCAAGTAAAGAGAGACATAATAAAAAGAGTAGAGAGGATTTCAGACATGTCTTCCAAGGTTTCATAGCTGACAGGATCAAACAGTGTCATGCTAATTGAATTGGTTTTAAATGGACACAATACAGACCCTGTGTCTGATATGAAGCACTGGCAGCTTGGGTGTGTGTTAATGGGCTGCTGACACAGGGGGGTTTGTCAGCCTGTCAGCGGCAGCAAATAAGAGCGTGCTTTATTATTCTATTTGGCAATGATGACAGAAAGAAAAGACCGCCTACCTGATGTTTAACACAGGGACATGTTGTGAGTTGGAAGCGTTGTGTGCCAATGTGACGTTTAGTTTTATCGTAGATGAGACATATCTGTTGATTAATAAAGAATTGACTTAAAAAAGCACAAGAGGGCTTCTTTTATGTTCAAAACATTCAATATTCTTTCCTCAAAGCCAACAGACTCCATTGACAGAAACATTAGTTATACCTTGCTGATCAATGTAAAAAAGAAATCTAAACCGTCTTAGTTTTTCTGTCCAAATCACACAATTCTGGCTAAAGAGTTTGAAAGTTAGACTGATTGATTCACGAATATTAAAAAAACAAAAGGCTTCTTTTGTCATTGAGAAAGGAGTTTATTGCATATTTTAGCAGTTTTTTGCATTTAAAACCTGCATACACGTGCTAATTTGAGTGGAAAGGGGTATCTGTGATCATGTTCCTTGGCAGAAATGACATATCACAGTCCGGAAATAAGCAGAAGTAGCAGTTCTATGAATGTAGCTCATGTTTGCTCCTTCTTTAAATGAACCTGCGTCCCTAGGAGGAAAGTGCCGGTGCAGTATTTTTCCAGCCGGCCTGTAAATGTCCACAGACAAACCTCGAGCCAGACACACACACTCACGACCTATATATACTATCTGGCCTCCTCATCATTTATCTTACAGCAGCAGAATCAGGATAGATTGGTTCAATTAGACTGGCCTTTAATGTAATCTGTTTAATCCATTTCTATCATCAAAGCCAATACCTACCTCTTCCCTTGGAGAGTGGGATTAGAGTGTATCTCAGAGAGAGCATCTCGGCTATAAAAACCAGCCTCCGAGTCACTCACATCCCCTCCATATTTGTTTTTTTACAACTGGCTGTGGAGCAAAAGCAGAGGGTCTCAAGTGAAGTTTTAATGGGTAAAGATTTAAGATCTTCATAACCTAGCAGAGATTGCAAACGCTGTTTGGCACAATGCACAGTGCCACAATAAAAAAAAAAGGCGAGAGGATTTGTCCTTTCCCTTTTTCTACAAAGATTGCAGCATTGGACGGAAAAACCCCAGGATTAGGTTGCGCCAGCTATTTGTAATTCCCTCACTAAGTTCGTACAGTAATTACTGATTTCAAACCATCCATATACACAGTCAAATTCCAGCAGCTGCCTCTTTCTCATTTAAAGGTGTTTTTTTTCCTGTTCTTCCGCATTGCATCCAACAGCTGCAATCTGTTTCTTACCTGCTGAGATTTTTCCAGGGAAGTGGGATTTTAGTCTCAATAGCCATCTATCCACCCCTCTTACCCAGCATGTGTCTGCACACTCTGAAATAGGAAGGAAGCACATATTTACTACTGCAGGTCTATTTCAGGCTTCATCCCCTATTCCCCAATCCCAGGCTCAGTTCCGTACAAATTCAACCAGTTTGAAAGATATTAAGATTCCCCTGCACCAGTTCAGATTCTCCTCTCCTACATTGTGGATTACCTGTGTGATTGCCTTTCAGGAGAATACCCCACGCGGTTATTTGCTCGCCACAGTCGATGAAAGCATTTTTTTACTGTGTCGGAAACTCCTGCTTTTCTGAACCCTGATTTTGTGTTTTTTAAATGGCTTCTTTAGAAATAACAGTATGAGTATTTATCATTGCAGTGGATGTTGTAGGAGTGCAGCTGGCAGTTTTGATTAAAGCCGATTGATTGGATGACAGGCAGGGCGGCACATAGCAACACGGTGGGGTTAAGGGTTAGGGCTCTCGAGGTGTCCGGAAAAAAAAACTTGCCCCCCCCACCCCCGTTTGTTAACACAAACCATGCAAACCATATCTGACAATAGCTATTGATCAGGTTAGCGGGGAGGATCAATACTTGTTGATTGGGCAGAAAATACAAGTCAGGCCATACAGGTTTAGGGTTTTCCAACTTAAATCATCTGTAAATATTCTAATATAGCTTTTGACTTAAAATGTATAATTGTTCATACAAACAGACACGTTTCTGGTACACAACAACTGCTAATGTTCTTGTTTAAAGCTTTTTTGATCAGTTTTTTTGACACATATTTCTTGAGATACTTCATATTTTAGCCTGAAATATATATATTATTAGTGTGCTAGAGCAACAAGGCTGTGGGAGATGAAATAAGGGAATGCATTAATGATATTGGTGCAAATATGTACTGACTGAGGAATTACAAGAACACCTGACTCCCAAGCACTCAGCAGCTATTTCCTATACTGTATCATTCATGTGCGTCTACTGCCATCTGCTGCTTTTTGCAAGCATGTGCATGGGCAAAAATCGGAATAAATGCTTTTACCAATATACAGGAGAAGCATGCCATTTTTCAAGGGTTACACATATCGCACACTTTATGTACTATTCTTGAATTGAATACCTTAAATATCTAAAAATGTTTTAGATATTGGCATGTGTATGTCCATATTAATGTACCTAATGTTATCAACTTCAACCTTGCAAATCTCCTTATGTATATTTATTTAGACAAAGTATCATGGTCCAACATTTAAAAAAAAATATATATTTAAAGATTACTCACTTCACAAATTGTATTGCGTTAATATTGGGGGTACACAAAACGCCTTTAAAATAATCACACCTCCTAATGTGCGACATCAACAATACATTTAACCATACATGTAATTTGTAACATGATTTGATGTCTAAAGCACTTACAATGGCAGTGAAAGTGACAACAGTTATTGTTTAAGCTATTTAGAAAATAACATTTGGCTCTACAAACTTTGTTGGTAACAAAATACATTTTATTTCTCTTTTTTTTATAGTTTTACTCTGATCTGAAACCCCTTATGTAGGAACATGCACCAAGAAGATATACTCAGATATGTCTGCCCCCCCAGAAAAAGAGAAGTCAGTGTTTCAGATTGAACCTGAATTCCGATCTAGAAGAAGTTTTTGTTAATTAGGAGTGTTAATTCTATGATTACCTTCATTGTATCTGTCATTGTGGAGTCAAGAGAAATATTCATCTCCAACTCATGCAAAAGTGTAATCTTTGACTTCTAGCCTTGACCTCTCACCTTCACTCTCCTGCAGTTTAATTTCGATCTGTTAATTCCCACCTAAATGAATTTATCATTATCAGAAACTGCTGAAATGTGTCTTTGAATGCTGTCAGAGTCCTGGGCATTAATCAGAAAAGCCAAACATTGCTTGGCTAAGCTTAACCGTTGAAAGCTTTCACTGGTTTGATAATATAGCCACCATTAATTCCCCTGCCACTGACAAGCAAGAACAGCGCAGCAAGCTAAATATATGGAGGGGAAGTGCTGAGCCGTAACTTTTACATGGATAAAAAGAAGTATGACATTGTATTTAATTACTATCACACTTTGGGAAGATTTAAACACAGTTCTGCTCTCTGTCTACAGAAAAAAATGGACCTGCGATTTGTCTTGTAGGGAGGACTGAGGTTTAACTCAAGTAAACAATATATTTCCTCAGCTACATTAAACTCCATTCAACCATTAATTCATTTCAGATCCATTTTGTTTTGTTTTCCATCCCAGGTTGTTGTCTTCTCCGCATACTTAGCACTTATGATAATTTCTCTTGGCTGGTGTCCAAAACCTTTTAACTCTGAATCCTGTGTTTCTTATTTGATGAAAAACAGATTTGGACACTGCGTCAAACCTCCAAAACCACTTATTTGTTTCTCTTCTTGAGTCATATTTCTACATTTTCTTCTTTACTTCCCTCTTTTCCAACTGCTAACAATCATGTATCCAAGTGATAATGAGTGTCCTCATCTTTACGCTTTATTTACGTGTTCTTGGATTGTGTAGGGCTATGAGAACAGATGGTAATTAACATGCATGGCTTCCAAATCCCCTGAATCTGAAAGAGCTTTATTCATTCCCCCTGCCAAACCTTGACACTACCATATTGCAGATGTGACCTCCAGATAAATTCTATTTTCATACCTTTTTATTACATATTAAAGTCAACCTGCTGCTCTTCATGAGCAACCAACAATGCAAGATAAAAATGATAAGTGCATCAGCTTAATAAATGAAGAAAAATCACATGCTACACTTCACATCAGAAGTCCATATGTATTTACAAGACCCCTATAAAACCCCCTCTGTGCGTTTGCTCCTCCACACCACTAGTGCAGTCATAAGCAGGGTGATCAGCACCGGCACGGCGATGAACGGGGCCAGGACGCTGATTGGGGGGTCGTGGAGGAGCCGGCCAGTCAGAGCGCAGTCGTGGAAGTAGATCCGGTGAATCTGCATGAAGAAGCGGTCCACTATCTGATTGGGCCAGAAGCAGTCCATGTTCAAGGCCACCTGGTAGGTGCAGTTGGTAGTTCCCTCGTAGATCCTGCAGAGGGCGACAACACATATATGATTTAATGAAACATTTTACAACTGCAACATCTCCTAGCCACATTTCATGATGAATTTAGAAATAAACCTGTAGAACTCTTCAGATTGTCTTTCAAACGTCCCGTCAGAGTGTAACCAAAGTCAGGACCCCAGTTGGTAGGAAAATAGGCAAAGGAGTGTATAGAATTACCAGTGGGCTCAACAAAGCTAAATATAACTGCTAGGCGGTCGCAGGCAGGGGAAATGGAGACGCATACCAGCAGAGTAGCACCCTCTGTCCAGCATTGCACCATTCCAACAGAGATTCACTGTGATGATGGTTCATGGGTCAAGTGGGGAAGTGGAAAGAAAAGTCCACTCATTGTCCTTAAAAGGCTTTTTCTATTGGAGGCGTGTATTATTAAATGTCTAATTTCCCCTTATTATTATTATTGATGCATCATGAGGTATTTTCTGTAGGGACACAACGCCGTATTTCCATGCCTGTGGGCCCCTAATGATTGGATTATAAATGCATTAGTGTGAGTTTATGTGATTATTAAAGCTATTAAATCTAGATTTTGACACAAATAAAAGAAGCAGGAGTGTCTTTCATTACAGTTCACATAAATAGTTCATTACAATTAACACAATTTGGAAGGTCTTTGGTGCAGGAGGCTTTTTCTTTTTACTGTATTGCAAGTACTGTATATATCTCTCTGAGCAAAACAGTGCATGCTAAGTTCTATTTTGTTCTTATTTGCTTTAAGAAAATCTTAAAACTAACAACTATTGGAGTGAAGCACATTCAGTATCCCCGACCGAGCGACTCACATGTAAGTGTGTGCGTGTCAGAGAAAGGTCACTTGAGACCCAATAAAGAAAAACTGTGATCATCATGGAACACTTTAACACAGCAAAGATAAAATAACCCCTGTCTTGGAGTTTTCCCTCCCCACAGGGATTGTTTATTTTCTCATGGAGAAAGAAGAACATGATCAGCAAAACACGAGGAGTGTTCAGACTGAGAGAGAGGACATCTAGAGATGACTTCAGCTGAGACTGAGGGTGTTTTCAGTTGAAGTACAGTTGAAAATAAAACTGAAGATGGATCTCAGTCTGCCACTCTTCAAGCTTTGCCATAGTAGAAAAAACGCCTAGCTGATCCATGCCTCCACCAACCAGTCAAATTGCAGTTTACACACATTTCTGTCCAAAATGTCATCATCACCCTTCACATAATAATTAACAAAGAATGTAATGGCTTAAAATAAACACACTTAGCTAACAGATGCTGACACAAGACGTTGAATTGACAAAGGATGCATTTCGTTGCTTGTGAATTCAGCTTTTCATTTTACTTTTTTTTTTTCTAAATTGGTCTGCATTCACACAAAAGCTTAATTTGTGTGTTGCTAATTTATTTTCATTATTTATCCGTCGCACAGGCAGCTCTCCAAAGGACCTCGATGATGGTGTCAAACATTGCTGCGAGGAGGCGCGTTGCGAACTCTCTAGGTGCCTGTAGGAGTCTTTTATGATGAGTTACAACTGCACACACACACACACACACACACACACACACACACACACACACACACAGAGCACTATTCCTAATTATGTGCTGGACCAAGAGAGGACAGCGAGCCAGGAGGGAAATCACAGTTATGACAGTAGCTTCTTCTGTGGGCCTCGAAGCTCCTTTCACCCTCCTGTCTGACTCACCCTCTGACTGTCAGTGTTTGGAAAGGGACACACTGACAATATCAAGTGCGACAGATACAGTAAAAGGCTACAAGCCAGCGATGTGATGATGGGTGTAAACACAGGCTGGAGTTGAGGACCTATTATGCTAATTTTCAGGTTCATATCAGTATGTAGTGTCTCTACTGGGACATGTCTCCATGCTCTAATGTTCAAAAAGCTCTTTATATTTCTCACACTGCCTGTGCTGCAGCACCTCTTTTCACCCTCTGTCTGAAACCAGAGCCCAGTCTGCTCTGATTGGTTAGCTGACCGGCTCTGTTGTTATTGGTCAACCGCGCCGAGATGTCCCGCCCCTTAACCTATAACGTATGATGTGTTGGAGCTCTAGCCAATAGAAGTGTCACATAGTGATGTTACCTGCTATTAAGAATGATCTGGCGTGACCTTCCTTGTTTACTAAGACACCTTATGTATAGTTTTTGGTATTCAATGTTGCTCTTATTAAAAGAAGAGTTGTTTTTCTAACAAAATCCTCATTATTTTAGAGCACCCTCGAGGAAAAGAGGCTTTTCCACCAAATATGACTTGATCCTCTTGTCATAATTTAATTCTGTGGAGCAAGCATATCTGACTAAACTGTTTCCTTTCCTTGCCAACTCTTTTTGTGCTTAGGTGAACTCACTCCATGGTGTCCTTCCAGCTGCACCACAGCCCTCGGTCCAGCACCGCCATGTCCAGTTGGAACTTAGTTAGGCAGAAATCGTTGATCGCCATCTCGTAATAACCTGTGTGGCAGCCGGACACTGATGGCAGGACGTGAGCTAAAGCACAAAAGAGGAGGAGAGACAAAAAACAAAATAAATGCATTAATAAATGAGACAATAAGAAGGAATTTGGGTTGGACTAAGAGATCAATTTAATCAGCTAATGATAATTTGTTTGTGCAACAAGGTTGTGTCCTGGCAATGGCTATTGGACAATTTGTTCCCTAGGCAGTTACTTTCACTATGAAAGATTTTAATTTGGAGGCACAGTCCCAGTCCAATTTGTTTATTTCAGAGATTTGTGTAAACTGGAGGCAGGCTGCTGCTGTCCCGCAGGACTCGAGGCTGAATGTACCAACACTGAGCAGTGCAGTCGGAGAGGGAACTTAAGCTGGCGGAAAGAGACCCGTGTGGAACGAACAGGTTGTTGTCACGATGGGGAAACATGGTGGATCTCAGTCTGCGGCGGCCTGATAAGGACCGACTGTGTGCCCATTATGTTTGCTCTGTCTCAGCTGGCTCTGGGGGCTCCGAAACACTCAAAGGGAGCTTGAATGTATTGACACGGGGATTTTTTGAAAGAGATGCTACTGAAAGAAAATTGTGAAAATGGTCGGGATGCTAGTGCTCTGCACATTTTCACAGGAACAGAGGCTAAAACAGAACATATAAATGCAACATTTTGCGTCTTTTAAGTCTCTTTTGCACAAGCAATCCCTTAAATGTGCAGAAAACAATCCTGCATGATGTTATGGGTGAACGGGAGAAAGGATCCACCTAATTTCCCAGACTTAGTAACATTTCAGGTGATAAAAAGCGGTAGCCTACTAATGTTAGCACGTAGATGACACATGGTTTGTTTTTATATTCAAGGTGCCAAATGCTTATTAATGACATGTTGAACGGTGAGTATACATTACAAGAAACTTGGCACTAGACCAAGAAAGCTCTTCGCATTTTCCAGAAACAAATAAGGGAAGTCCTTCACCTTGTCATCTTCTTATTTGGATGTTAATGGTTTTAAACATCCATAACTGTTGTGTGTGAATTTTATCCTAGTAATGTGTGAGAGTCATGCCTGTCTGTTTGTTGGCTACTGCTCATGAACACATCTGACAATCAAGCATTCAAAGATGCCTCCTCACTTGGCTCCTGCATTCATATTCCATTTCCCTGAAAAATCAAGGCCAACCGATGCTGATGCTGCTAACGGGAGGATTGCACTCTATCGACTCACTGCCGGTTTGTCCATATTTTAGTTGAAGGAAGCACCAGTCATCGCAGCAGGACTCTTGAATTCTGCCCACCATTCTACAACTCAATATTTATGGATTATTTTCAAAATTATGATGGAATGATCCATCCAGCTCAGATGTCACTCTTGTTTGGCCAGCTACTGCTCAGTGTGAGGAGAGAAACTTCATACTACAGCACTCATTAGGCACATTAGCAGGAGTTATACTGGATTTGTAGCCATTCAAATAATTGCTTCTGATTAATGGATTAGTGAATAAGCCTATAGCATAGGCCAAGAGTGTAAGGGGCTCCCCTGGCCCTCTTAACCAATGCAATGGTACCCAAAATGACAAATACCAAAAAAGAAGAGACTCAAAATGAGCACTAAGGAACATAAGAACGACCAAAAGAGACACGGAACAACAATACAAAGAAGCTAAACATTAACAACTATATAAATATAGAGATATAAAGTTGGGAAAAAACATTGGTCACAGCAGCAATTTGACAGTCAATATACAATTCCAAATGTCTTAACAATGTAATATATAAGATAAGCATAACAAATACTGAACACTATAAAATGTTCAGAATAAATAAAAATACTCTCTAGACAAATCAACTTAACATAGTGTACAATATACATCAAAAGGAACGTAAGTGGTCTGCAGTATGTACAATATACAGGTATGTGTAGTAATATATGTAGTGGGTAATGCTCTCAAAAAAAGTGCAGTGCTCTTGAATGCACCTCAAGGTCATACTCCTCCCAACCACACCACTCATTAGGGTGATAATAAAAGCCACCTGTAGGCCTACCTGCTGTGCTGAGAAGGGAATGACATTTAAATGAACTGTTGGTATGCTGCATGGTGAGCCTTCTTTACCTACGTTTGACCCTTTTTGTAGGTTCACCTGCTTCTGTTTTTTGTGAGTGATTGTGGTTAGCTTTTGCTTTGGTTAGCTTTTACTTTGCTGTTTTGGTTAGCTTTAAGCTTTTGATTTCCTGTTTTGGTTAGCTTTAGCTTTGCTGTTTTAGTTAGCTAAGCTTATAGCTTTAGCTGTTTTGGTTAGCTTTAGCTTTGCTGTTTTGGTTAGCTTTAGCTTTGCTGTTTTGGTTAGCTTTTACTTTGCTGTTTTAGTTAGCTTATAGCTTTAGCTGTTTTGGTTAGCTTTTGATTTCCTGTTTTGGTTAGCTTTAGCTTTGCTGTTTTAGTTAGCTTATAGCTTTAGCTGTTTTGTTTAGCTTTTAGCTTTTGCTTTGCCCGTTTTGATAATAATTTAAGCCAACTGGGACCTTTGTGTAACTTTTTCCAGTCATCGGGGATCGGGCTGGTCACCTTCACCTTTGCTGTATGAGTGTTTTTCTGCAACTGCACCTGGTGAGTATATAGGGCTGGGAGGGTTACTTTAAACATGCAATCACTTACAATAACTAGTTAGGGGAGAATGGGGTAAGTTGAGCCAGTGGGTAAGTTGAACCACCCCCTGTAACCAGGCAACGCCTTATAGTTGTAATCAAGTGACCAGAAATGATGCAAGCTCCACCCATTTATCATTGCCTGTGAAAGAGAGATGCTCATTGTGGTCTGGTATGTAAAAACTTTTACAAAAACGTTTTTTGCTTGTCAAAGTAAATGTTGTAGATGTCAGCTATATCGGCTGTCATGTAAAAAAAAGAAGAAGAGTATCCAGGTTTAAACACATATGGTATATGTTGATGTGTTGGCAGCGTATTAAACCATGTGAATCATTCAGCTAAAGATGGCTCTGAATTTTAATGCTAGGCTATTTGTTCTAAAATTGTATATATCTATGGGGTAAGTGAACCATGGGCCTTGGGGTAAGTTGAGCCAGTTTTTCAATGGAGAAATGAAAGTAGGCCAAGTTGATAATAAGAGCTCATTGTAGGCTACACTTAAAGTTGAATGTACCCTGTGTTTGATTGGTAAGATGTATAAAATTGTATCACCATTTGTATGATTACTTTTCCTTTTTAACATGTTAAAAAAATACAATCGAAATTTTATATTAAAAATATTTGAAAAACTAAGCTTGTATTTGGTTTGTTATTTATTGTTTATAGTTACCTTTAAGATGGTTTGTAGGTATACCCAGGTTTGAACAGGTATGCCTAGGTTTGAACAGTGGTTCAATTTACCCCCTGACCTGGATCAACTTAACCCTAACCCGGGGCAAGTTGAGCCACAAAACTTTTTTTTTTTTAAGAAGTAATACTTTCACTGCCCTTGATCAAATAAGAATTATTACCATTGCCATTGGTAGGAGACATCCTGAATTATAGGTGTGTGTTTTCATTTTTACTATGTGTCATTTCTCCTTGCTTAGAGGACAGCATAACAAAAAAATGACTCAACTTACCCCACTCTCCCCTACATGTCAAAAAACGTAACCTAATCCTTATATCAAAATATAAAAGTAATGAAACCTGATTGCATTCCATTTTGGATTGCCTCTAACAAATGCAATGCAAATAAAAACATGAGAAAATAAATAACAATCAGATGAACCTTTCTTGTTTGATAACCAACAATGCTGTTCCTGAGCGTCATCTTCTTGATTGATTTAATAAAAATGAGTTTATTTACAGCGTCTCTTTCCCTACCTGGAACCTGTGTGTCTTGCTGACTTGTGAAATTAAATATAGATGTGTCATTAGTTTGTGGGGCCCTCTGCATGTATGTGGCCCATTGTCTCATAATGCCACACAAACCAAATCATGCCATTGTCCAGAAGTATGTTTTATTAGTCTGTGTAATAAAGTGCAATTCAGAGGTATGTAGAGACTGCAATTTAATGTTGGTCTTCCTTTCAACTGTACTTCCCAGCTAACTTCCTTTCCTCATCACTGATTGGCTCTTGTTTCCACCCTAATTAACCAGATTAAGTTCACCTGATCACTCCCAATTTAAAGTCTGCATTCTATGGCTGCAGTTCTGGTAAATTCTGACTCAGTTTAGTGTATATCCTGTACCCTTGTTAAATCAAGTGACAGTGTTATGTATCCTTGTTACTTTAAAATACACCTGAAACTAATTGCACATATTTCTAATCTTCTATTTGAAGAAAATAAACCTTTGCTATAGCCTACCGGTGTGACAGTTGAAGGGATAACTATTTTCCACTAGTGTGTTGCTGCAATACTTTAGCATTTTTTTTACAGTGTGCTATTTCTTTAAGTTTACAACTTGAATAGCCTACATTATGCACCTCTGACCCATACTTGTCAACCCTCCCGATTTTCGCGGGAGACTCCCGATTTCATTGCCCTCTCCCGGTTTCCTACCGGGGTCATATTTCTCCCGCATTTCTCCCGATTTCTGACAAAATCAGATTTACTCAGGACTGTTTCCACTCGGACTTTAATACAGCTACACCATTGTTTGGTTTCCATGGTAACGCGTCTCTTTAGTAGCGCGCAGCTGAAAGTCTGAGAGGGTGAGGAAGATAATCACAGAAAACAGAACAAGAATCGACAACTACTCTACTCTCTGCTCACTCCTTTCCTGCCCACACATATGCTCCATCAAGGATGGTGCTACAGGCCGCAAGGCAGTGCACTTAGAACTACAATAAGCATGTTAATCTAACAGCTCCGGCGATCCACTAGCAACAAAAACAAATCTATAGCGAATCCTCATCATACTAATAATTGGTGAGGTGTGCACTGTGGCAACACCAGATGACCAGGTGAAGATTAATGATATGAATAAATTAAGAAGCTTTCCTGTGTGAGTACACACCCTATACAAGAACCAAAAAGTATTTCCCCGTGGGAATCAGATCAAACAAGTTACATTTGAGTCTCTTAAAAGTATGTATCAATCCCAGAAGCGCTCACCTGCCAGCAGCAACACAAGCCCTGCTTTCAGCAGCGACGCGCTCTCCAGAGCCATGGCCAACCCAACGCGTTTTAAGCACACTGCTCACTCCCTGGAGGTCAACTGCACATATTCTTCCACCAGTTTCGAGCCGAAAGCCACTGATTCGGGAACCACACAACAAAGTTACAGATAAATACCCGCAGTCCGTGGTCAACAAGACGGCACCAACTGTGCGTAAAAGCCCCTTGACCTTCCCCAGTGGCAGCCCGCTTCCCTCACCGCAGTCCTAATCATAGCAGCCCGACATGACATCTGATCCTTCTGCCCTGTTGAGTGGAGCTGCTCACAGGGGACAAAACAAAGTCACACTAAAACCAGTGCCATCTTTACATTTTAAATATAGCCCTGATGTATGTTCTGTTATGCAAATATCAAAGCATGTGGGATGAAAAAAGTCACATTAAAAATGTGGGGTCTTAAAGTCGTTTAAGACTCCATAAAGTCACACCACGTGTTACATATTTAAAAAAAACAATCTTAAGGTTTTTAAAAGACACTATTAAAATAAATAGTAGACGTTTACATAAGTAAAAGCAGTTATTACTGAAGTGGAAAAATAAAAAAGGAAGTAATTCAAGAGTCAAGTGTTAGCACTCAAATAAGATTTTGCATAAAGCAATTCTATTGTTATACTGATGTTTGGCCACGTGAGGGCGCCATTTACCAATGTTTTCAATGGATTTTGCATTTTGTATATCAGTCTGAATCTATGGTCTGAATCTGCAAAGCAACTAGTTACTGCAGTTATTACATAAAAGCAGTGGGGTAAAAAGTAAAATATTTGCTTTTATAAGGTACTTGAGTAGAAGCATAACGTGGACTGAAATGGAAATACACATCTCTTTGTATTTAAGTAACTTTAGTAAGCATTTTTGTAAATATACTTAGTTGCATTCCACCTGGATGAGATGGGAATTATATTGTATTAAGTATTTTTAAATCTGCCTCAAAAGCAGGGACAATGTACATAAACTCCATGTATTATACAGAATAGCCTTTTAAATACACAATTATCACAATTATCAGCCTAATATGTGATTGCTATTGTCTCTAAATTACACTATTACACGCCTGCTGTGAGACAGTCATTAGACTCATTATCCACTTTTAATTAAATGCATGAGTAAAGTGTTCCCTCTTACTTTTTTTTAATATGTAATGGATTACTGTGTAGGAATTCACCATTATCCTGCAGCCCTGCTCACACAGGGTCCCATTACTGCGCACAAAGGCACAATTCCCATTTCCATGTCACTCGTATATCAGTGTGGATCTCACGCGGCACAGTAATGTCCCTAATTGAATGTTTTATCTGCTGAGTTTTGTACAGGAACAGAGCGACGGGCATTAGTATTCTCTAGGTGTCTCAGCGCTGTGCTGCCACCCAGTGTGTGTGTCTAATCCCATAGCTCAAATAAATACTTCCATGTGCCTCACACTGCAGACGCTTCATCTATTATGGGTGTGTATTTCTTTATTTGGGGCGTCACAAACCCAAAAGGAAATTGATAAAAAAAGAGTGGTCTATGTAATAATGTTTCATATTTATTCTTTCTGTATAATACTGTCTGTATTTCTTTCAGCTCTTTGTTGGTTTCAATATTTATACTTCTGTTCGTAGTGTTTATATCCTTAAATACAGTTTTTTTATTTTTATATCTGTCAGTTATCTTACATAGACTGCCGTTTACTACTTCCCTTGCACTTTTGGTTAGATACTAACTAAACTTTTTTTTCTCCCATGACTCAAAGATGATATTGAATCTGATATAAATCTGATCTAGTAATTTTTTGTTGACACACTTCTGGTTGAAATGTTTTCAAAAGGCAATCATCTCCATGCTGATGATACAAATGCATATCACAGTAGGAGTTGTAGTCTTTTCTCCAAAGATGATTTTGCTTCCTGCCTATGGTTCAGCTTTCTTTTTGACCAAAAATCAATAAAGAGCGGTACTCAAACTCATCATATAAGGTTAACATATTTTATCGACGTACAAAGTCTGATTGTGGAGGAGATCAAGTGGCATTTTGGTTTATTTTCCATGTTTTGAGCACAATATTTGTGAAAAGTACAAGCCAAGTGCTATGTCCAGAAACAAAGGCCTAATATCGAGCAATTCTCCATAGATTGTGCTAGATGGCAGCAGAGGACACTGAATGAAGCCTCTGTGTGGCACTGTGGGGATTTCTGATGGATCATTTCCATCCTTGCTGCCTAAACTGTGGATTAATCTGGTAATAGAGCCTGTTTACGCCTGAGTTCTCCCTTTACATGGATCACAAATCAATATCTATTGGTCCTCACTGATTTCCCTAGCAGTTTTCATACTTTCACACGAGCCCACTGGGTACACTGGATTGTGAAATGAGCGTCCCTGAACATGGTATACTGCCTGTACTCTGCAGCATCAAACTTTATAGTCGGTGCCTTTCAGGAAGCTTGAACTTCCTGTAAGCTTACATTCAATATACCAACACAAGTGAAGCAAAAGTAGTTGTAAATACTCTGAAAAATCACTCTCTATTATGGCATCTTTCTTTCTAAATTATGAACTAATGGTCCTGTCATGGCAGGAAACAGGCTATAAAGCAATTATTTTAATAGGTATTTAAATGATGATCATTATATGGTAATAAAAAGTCAATTTCTGCCTTTTTTCCAGCATCAGAGGAGACCACCCCGGGGGAAAAACAAAAAAAGAACCTGCTCCTGACAGGTGTATTGACAGCAGTGATGGAGCCAAATAGCCAACCAGGAGAGGTGATAAGTGAGGTAGGCGTATTTCCCCTAAAAAAGAGACAAAACGCTTCTAATCTTTTAGATAGCTGCTTTAATTGGCTGAAGGAGGTGTCGATCTCAGTAAGGAGGCGTGTTTAGACCCCCCCCCNATGGCAGCGTGAGGAGTAAATGGCTCAGAGTATCCGCGGTGGAAAGCGACCTAAACACTGGACAGGGAACTGATAAACAAACAACAACAACTAACGCGGTGCGTAAAAGCTCTCCACGGCGCTGCTTCTGGGTGGAAACTGTGCCAACAGCAGAGAAGACTGACGTGATTTATTTTTTCCATTTCTCTCTCAGTGTGAGCAAACAAACGAGGATATCTTAATTGGACATGTGAGTTACGGGAGATAACAAGACAAGCAGCCCCCTTTTCGAAGATGAAGTTCCCCGCTTGTGTCCTCGTCACTTTGCTGGTGATCGGAGCCGGTGCAGCACAGTCAGGTGAGTGCTCGGATGCGCGTCTCTGCACCTGGGGCGCCCAGGGAGGTCAGATCCCCCTAAAAAAAAAATGTATTTCCTGACATACACCTGCACATTTTGGCTTGATATGGTGGCGAAATCACAGTTTGGTGAATGACAACGAGCGGATGTGACACCTCTGTTATTGCGAGCTTTGCATCACTGTCACAAACTTACACAACTTCATATCCAACAACGCTCATGCTGCTTTTGAGTCCGCGCCCTGAGACTCTCACCTGCAGTAAACTGTGACATTCAGCATCCTGTGGGAGCGTGCCAAGCTCTGCGTAAAAAAAATCTCCAAACTCCCGTCCTTTTAACACCTTTTACGAGCTAATCTGATTCAAACAAAGAGTAATTATCAGCAGAGATTGTGGTTCTTTGAATGGATACATATTATTGTTTGGGGGTAAACTGATGTTTATGAATGAATGCGCCATCGTTGTAATCTAATTCCCATAAACGGACATTGATGCACCGCGGCTATTTGCGCTGATTTATATGAATTGAGCTCGTGGTAGCCCTTTTATTCATGCCTGTCTTTGAATAATTTAGATGTAGCAGATACACTGAGGGCTATATTGGGAAAAACATCTCGCTTTCATCATAAGGACCCCCGTGGTGTCAATCCCCGGACCAAAATCCCTTTAATGATCCTGCAATATTCCCATAAAGCATCAATGGCATGCTAGAGTCAACTCATAGTGAGGTTAATGATATCTGTGTGGTGTTGTAATCCCTTTGGCACCCCTGTGGGATATTTGCTGTGAGCTTTCTGCAGTTACATTGGTTGTGTATTTATCCGAGCAAATAATGAAACTTTTTTCCAGCATCAATAAAGGGTTTAACGTGCTCCAGTATTCTGTTTGAATTTGAGTGCCGTGGAATAATGTCAGACTGAGTTAAATCTGGTGTTTCATGTTTTTTGGGCAATAATCTGCTTTTTAAACTGATGCAATCAAGTTTTGGCAAGGGGGAAAAACACCCCAGGCAAACAGGAAGTGGAAACATAGGAGTGTTTTTATGTTTGGAGGGTGAATTTGGCTTTACTCCAACCTCTCAAATGGGATGCTTTTCTTCCCCGCCTCCAAGGACAGGTCGAGTTTTGGCTTGTGGTTCTCAACAAACACACTGTGCTGTTGTGTGTGTGTGTGTGTGTGTGTGTGTGTGTGTGTGTGTGTGTGTGTGTGTGTGTGTGTGTGTGTGTGTGTGTGTGTGTGTGTGTGTGTGTGTGTGTGTGTGTGTGTGTTGCCTATTATAAACAGCAGTGGATGGATGGGTGTCAGGCAAGGGAAGAGAAGTGCCAGCCTTTGCCTGGTTTATTTATTCACTACGCATACACTCCCATCCGAGATATTTGTGATGCAAATTCAACCTCGAGAATCTCAGCTATGCCTCTTGGGAAGTTCTGTGTGTGTGTGTGTGTGTTTACTGAGCTGATATGTGTATGCTATCTGTCCACTCTTTCACTTAATCTCCCGCTCCTTATTGTGGCTTTTAAAAATGCATCCCCGGCACCATACATCAAGTCATATCAGGTTGTAGTAAGTCAAGGCTGGAGATGTTCACTTCAGCGGTGTTTAACATGGTGATTGAATCTGTCTGCTGCGAGACAAATGTCTGCAGCATTCCTGCCAGTCAGCTGGTCTGTGGAGCAGTAGAACTGTGCGTGTGTGTGTTAGCATGATGAGTGTGTGCAAAACATGGAGGTGTTCACACCACAAGGAACTTGATTGATGTCTTGTCTGTTGGCAGTGTGAGAGAATGGTCTTCTGTAAACTCACGGTTCACTTTTTTTCACAAGTATGCCTCGATTCCTGAATGAGAATGATTTATTTTTTTCAAAGCAATTTGTTGAAGCCTCGGAACAATTAGTTTGTTGTTCACAACAGATTTGATTCTCATTTATTCAAGCAAGCGTTTCCGCATGTGTGTGCATAAGATTTATTGTCTACGGTTTGCACAACTCACACAAACAACTTCTGAAACGTCTTGCAACGCTTGAGCAATCACATGCAAAATCTGTC